GCCAGCTCGGCAGACAAGTGGCTCTGCCGCATGGCTGCCATCCTATGCGACCTGGTTGCTTCGATGCCGCACTTGGCTGTCTTCCGTCCTGCGCGACGCCTGGTAGAGGCGAATGCAGAAGCGGCCCACGCTCTCTTTCCCATCTTGCTTCTGTGCTTTGCGGCGGACGATGCGGCACAGGGATCCTCTGCGGTTGCTACCGAGAACCGAAAACGGAGCGGCGGGAGCGTTACGCCTTCGCGAGCACAGCGCGACCAAGCACTCGCTGCAACGCGAACAGTCATCGCGCAGCACTTCGAAGCCGTGCTCAATTGCACCACCTCGGGTCCTACCTGCAGCGAGATCATTGTCCAGGCGCTCTTGGCTCTGCGCGCCTTCCGTCCAGTGCAGTCGGAGCCGGACAACGTGTGCTTCTGGTACCGCGTGGATCCGAGCCTGCTTGCCAGTCGATGCATTGCAGCAGGTCAGCTCACCGCGGCCATCTTTTTCCTCGAGCACGGCATTCAGAACGCGACTGAAAAGCCAGGGGCCACGATGCTCCGCAGCGCTAATCAATTGCTGCACCAAGCCTATATGAACATCGACGATCCGGACGCTTTCTACGGCATCACGGACGGGGATGTGCGCGACTCGGTGCTCATGCGACTGCATCACGAGGGGCAGTGGTTACGGGCATTTCAGTATCACGCGGCGGACTACGAGGCTTGCACCAGCCACGGAGAGCGCAGACGAGCCGCAGTCACACTGGGTCAGAGCCTACAACATCTGGGATTCCCTCGACTGGTGGATGGTATCGGATTGAATAACGCCGGGGAGGACCGCTTCGCCTCGGTGAGGGACCTCGGCGGATCCTCTGCATCCACATCGTGGGACCTACCTGTCGCTTCGCAGTCACTGCAGGACAAGGCACCGAGCGTGGAAGGCGTGCTACATACGCTGCGCCAAGCGAGTGCCGAGCAGGATGTCGACGCACCTTTGTCGCATGCCTTCCGATCGAAGCTGCAAGCGCTATGCTCGACCTCGATCGAGAGCGCCAAGGCGCTGCGCAGTCTCCAAGGCGATCTGCTTGCGCTCGGCCAAATCAAAGACTGGCGCAGGGCATCGAGCTCGATGGGAGCCGAGGAGGCGGTAGCCCATCTGCGCAGCCAGTGGGTGCGAGTCGAGGCGTCGGAGCGCTTCGAGCTGACCGAGCGTGTTCTCGACACGCGCCAGTCGGTGCTGCATGCGGTGCGCCAGCGGATGCAGGTGGACCAGATCGGCGATGTGCTGGACGGGCCTGTCGAGGATGTGGCACGAGTGGAGCGTCTGCTTCTGGTGGCGTCGAGCCGCCGCGCACGCGAGCACGGCAAGCTGCAGAAGGCCATCAATGCGGTCGCTCGTGCACAACGGATCGAGGACGCGCTGGGAGACGGCGAGGAGCTCGCGCGGGAAGAGTTTGCAGCGGTGCTGTGGGATCAGAACGAGCACTCACCTGCCATCCAGCTGCTCTCGCAGGTCGTCGATGGCATCGGCGTCACACAAAGCTCGTCGGCGTCGCAGAAGCGCCGCGCGGCGCGGCTGCTGGCCCTGCTGGCGCAGTGGCGCGCCACTGCTCGCTCGCAACAGCCAAGGGAGATCGATCGCAGCCTCTTTGAGCCGGCGTTGAAGCTGACCGCTGTTGCTGAATCGCCAACAGCTTCAGCGGAGCAATCTGAGATCGCATACAGATGGGCGAGGTTTGCAGAGCAGCACCATCGAGACTCGGACCTTGCTGAAATCACGCGTTTGCGGCTCTACACGGACCGACGCCGCGAGGAGATCGCACAGAACCAACGCGAGTGCGAGCGGACGACCTCCAAGACGGAACGATCCAAGCTGCTTCAGTTCCAGCGCCAGGCTGAAAAGATCCTGCTGCAAGACGAGACGAGGCTGATGGAGCTCGAGGCGTCGCGAACGCACTTTCTGCGCCGGAGCGTCGCCATGTACGCGCGTGCATTGGCGACGTCGGACGAGCATGACGATGCGGTGCCTCGGCTGGTATCGTTGTGGCTGGAGCACGCGGCGGATGCAGAGCTCAATCGGCTGCTGTCGACCTGCCTGCCATCGATCCCGTCGCACAAGTTTGTTGGGCTGATGCACCAGTTGTCGGCGCGACTGACGGAGCTGCCGGATTCAGCGGACGTCATGGTGCCGTTCCAGACGAATCTGTCGCGCCTGCTGCTGCGCATGTGCCAGGAGCATCCGTTTCACTGCCTGTACGCCATCTTTGCGCTGATCAAGACGGGCGCGGATGCCAAAGCTGCGGCAACGCATCGACCAAGCCCAAGAAACACGCTGTCGGTGCCCGAGGGTGGCGCCTCGCAGTCGGCGTCGCCGCCCGTGCTCAGGTCGACGGCGGCGGAGAAGATCTGGACGCACATCAAGCGGCGCTCGTCGCTGGGCAAGCGCATCCGCACGTTTGAGGAGCTGTGCCTGGCGTACGTGGAGTGGGCCGAGTTTGACCTCACGTCGCGTGCGGACCGGTACTTTCAGAACAGCGGTTCGATCAAGAAGGGAGCGCTGCGGATGCCGCCGTCGGGCGAACTGCGGCTGGCGCGCATGCGGGATCTAGACATACCAGTGGCAACAGCGCGGCTGGAGATCGATGCGACGTGCCGGTACGAGAGCTTTGTGTCGATCGTGCGATACGGAGAGACGTTTACGACTGCGGGAGGCATCCACCTGCCCAAGATCAGCGAGTGCATCGGGAGCGATGGACGGCGGTACAAGCAGCTGTTCAAACGCGACGATGATTTGCGGCAGGACGCGGTGATGCAGCAGGTGTTCCGCATGGTCAACGGGCTGCTGGAGGCGGATCGACGGACGCGGGAGCGAAACCTGGCGATTCGGACGTATACGGTGCTGCCGCTGGGGCCTCAGTGCGGCTTGCTGGAGTTCGTCACCAACACCTTGCCGCTGGGCGAGGTGTTGATCGAGCTGCATGCGCGGTACCGGCCGCAGGACATTACGCCGGCGCAGGCGCGAGCCAAGCTGCGGGATGCGCAGACGATGCGTGCTGAGGCCAAGCTCGAGGCGTTTCTGGACGTGTGCCAGGCAATGCAGCCTGCGATGCGCTACTTTTTCAGCGATGCGCAGCGGATGCCGCGCAACTGGTACGCGACGCGGCTGCGGTACACGCGGAGCGTGAGCACCAACTCGATTGTGGGGCATGTGCTCGGACTGGGTGACCGACACGTGTCGAACATCTTGCTGGATCAGGCGAGCGGGGAGCTGGTGCACATTGACTTTGGCGTTGCGTTTGACCAAGGCAAGCTGCTGCCGATCCCGGAGCTGGTGCCGTTCCGACTGACGCGGGATCTGGTGGACGGGATGGGGGTGCATGGCGTGGAGGGCACGTTCCGGCGATGCTGCGAGGAGACGCTGCGGGTGCTGCGCGCGCACGGGGATGCGATCAAGACGGTGCTCGAGGTGTTCCGCCACGACCCGCTGTTTGCATGGACGTCGAACCCGATCAAGGTGCTGCGGGCGCAGGAGGCGGCGGCGGCGGCCGAGGAGGAGAGCGTGGCGGCGAGCATGGATCGATCGGGCTCGACCGCGCCGAGGGTGTCGTGCTCGACAACGCCCATGGTGGCGGTGGGAGACGGTATGGGCGCCGGGGTGGACACGGCGGAGCTGAGCGCAGATCGCGCGGTGAGCTCGGTCATGTCGAAGCTGTCGTCGAGCCTGAGCGTCGAGTCGACGGTGAACGATCTGATCCAGCAGGCCATGGATGCTGGCAATCTCTCGGCCATCTTCCATGGATGGCAGGCAGCGCTGTGATGTTCATTTGGCCCACCGAGGGTGTAACGGTCACGAACGGTCTCTGTGTAAGTCTGGTTAGTCCGTGATCGCAATTCTTGAACGGCGAGCCCTCATATGATAATTTGTCGCCATCACCGCTGACCGTCGAACCATCTCGTAATCACTCGAACCAGCGTGTCAGTCTGTGTAGTTGTTCCGTCGAGATGTCGATTGCATGTGTCCCGCCCCACCGGTCTCGGCGGCTGAGCCCGCGACAATGGCTACAGTCGATCGTCTGCGAGATTTTGGAGTGCGTGCTAGCGGAGTTTTCATTGTCTGTGTCGTGCGGTCAAACTCGGTAATTGTGCGAGCATGCCTTTGGTCATCTGCATGAGGCAGGTTTGCAATTTGCCACGCGAGCACGTGGCGACAGCTCGCCAACGGCATCGAGGTGCGTCTGGACCACCACGGGAAGCGCCGGGTTCGGAAGATTTCAGTCGACACTCAACGATACCGATATGGAAGCGAGCCGAGATGCTTTTGCAATCGATTGGCTAAGGCCAGGTCGAACATGCGAGCAGGCGAAATTGCCATGTCTCGGCAGTAGGGCAGTAGGGCAGCGGCATGCCAACGACGGTGTGTGGGGGTTGCCAAGGTCTCAAAATTAGAGCTCAAGACAGCGGGGTGAGGTGGTGACGTCTTGGTGCGGGGACTTTTGAGGCTTGCCTATGGACAGACGGGAGGTTTCGGCATGCAGGTACGCGTCGCGGCGTCTTTCGACTCAACAACGGCAGTGTGGGCAATCAAGGGGAGTTGGATCGGCATGTCGAGTTGCGCAGAACGGCGGGGGATTGATGTGCTAATCAGACGCGCTGACGATTAGGACACCGCCGATGCGCCGCCCGTCTTTCACGTTCGAACCTCACGCGCGCTGCGCTGCCCATGCGTCATGGCAAGGAAGCACTCAGTTTCATGTGGAATTCTCGCTCTGCAATACAGTGTGCCGCGCTGAAAATCCCCAGCAGCATCAATTTAGCAGCTTCGACGTTATGTTGCGCTCTGCACTTTGCATCTATTGCAGGGTTGAATGTGAGCCTTTCACTGTACACTAAGATGGGATGCGACTTGTTGGACATGGGGCGGATGGTGTTGCTCGCACTGTGAGAATAGTGCGGCGATGTAACGTCGGAGGGTGGGGGCGGTTGGAATTTGAGTGTGGATGCGGGCCGTGGAGCCGACGCATGCACGCTCGATGCAAGCGCCCGGGCACCCGAGCCGAGTCGGCGGAGGTTTCGCTTTCAACGCAGCCAGCATCCGCACACTGCATCTGGGCTGAAGATGCGCCCGCAAAGAAAAAAGATGCGGCTCCGCACAGCGCAGGCGCGCGGTTTGGTCATCCGATTTTCGATTTTCAACGCAGCGCCTCGCTTGAGCGCGCAAGCCGCCAAACTGTGACGCTGCCTCCGCCTCTGCAAGCCCAACTTCGCACCCCGCCAGCCGAGCCGACGTCAGAGCGTCGCCACCGCCCACTCGCCGCCATTCTCCACTGGTTAGGTGTGAAACATGCTGGGCCACCTCGCTTCGTTCGTAGCGCGACACGGACGAGGTGCCCGCCGCGGGTGGCCAAGGCGGCGTGCAAGGCCCCAGCCACATCCGCAAATCATATATACCCCATGTCATCTTCACGCTTCGTGCCCTGCACCCACCACAGAAACCGTCTTCACCATGGCGACTGCAAAGGCTGACGTTCCACAGGCGGCCGGTAGGGCCCCAACGACCCGCCCATCCATGGGCGACCAGAAGCTTACGGACAGCAAAGTCCCGTCGATTGCGCCCGACAATGCGTGCGATGAGCCCTCGCCTTACGCGCCCGGCGGTGAGGGTCACAAGGCAATCGCCACCGACCCAGTCACGGGCGAAGGCTACGACAAGGTGTACGGTGTTCGTCCCAAGACGACGTGGCATCTGAAGCCCGCATCGGAGCGCACGCTGTGGGAGTTCATCGCATCCATCGACATCGCACCCGACGTGTGCTACGCCAAGCGCGACGCCTCCGAGAAGCTGCGTGGTCCACCCCCCACGCAGCCGATCTGGAAGGAGAACGTGTTCATCCTGACGACTGCCTCGGTGGCACCTCTGCTGCACACGGCGTGGAACTACACGTTCCCGAACCACCCCATGCACTGGGCACCCGCGTGGATCATGTACCACACGGCCTTCATCGGGTTCGCCGTGCGCATGATCCGACGTCTCCACAAGTACATGGCCGAATACGGTACGCTCGACGAGCAGAACCGCGGTCGTGACCTTGTCGACGACAAGCACGTCAACCACCTCGGCCAGAGCATTTTCATCTACACCATCTTCCGCACGCTTGCGCCGTTTATGCTCGCATGGCGCGGTGACATGACCAACGTCTTCGAGGGTCTCTCGTGGGCCACTCCACTCAAGATCGGATGGTGGGAAATCGCCCTCGACTACTGGTTCTACCTCTACCACCGCTCCTGCCACGAATACGACTTCCTCTGGTTCATCCACAGGCAGCACCACGCAACCAAGCATCCCACGCCCATCCTCTCCATCCTCGCAGAGGACTACCAGGAGGTGCTCGAGATCTTCATCGTCCCCTTCCTCGCAACCGCCATCTCGCCCAAGATGAACTTTATCGAGATGTGGCTCGTCGTTTGCTACACGCTCTACGTCGAGGCCCTCGGCCACAGCGGTATCAGGGCTTACTGGGCACACCCTGTGCTCGGTAGGGTCCTGGCCCCCTTCGGCATGGAGCTGACCGTTGAGGACCACTCCAACCACCACCTCTACGGTAAGGCCGGCATGAACTACGGCAAGCAGACGCGTGTCTGGGACCGCATCTTCGGCACCGTCGACCCCCGACGTGAGACCCAGGAAGTGGGCATCTTCGGGTCCTAGTTTTTCCTTCATTCTGTATAGTTGCGGTAATATATTTGCATTCGTATCATCTGGTTGTGTGTGGCAAGAGTCTGGCGTAATTATGGCGACGGTTTTACGGCGTGTTGGACACGTGAGCTTGGATGGCGGGAATGCGTGCTTTGTCGATCCACGGGAAGGGATTTGTCGTCGGCGGCCTCCGCCGGGCGCGCCGTAACGAGGCCAAGTCGTCGGTCGCTCGCGCCCAGCATGGGTCGCAGAGGGCGCGGCGTCGAGTCTAGCATTACCACCGGGCGCGCCGTCGGGCCCAACATATTTACCAAGCTTGTTCCGCCTCCTTTGCTGCCTGCAGTTCGGCGCGTCGCTCGTGCACCTCGCAGCCGTAGGTGATGCCAGCCTGGAGCAGGGTCGACTCGTCACCTGCCATGCCATCTGCATATCGTGGCAGCCAGATGCCGTCCTCCGTCAGAGGCTCGCCTGCATCGCTGAGCAGCGCCCTGTCCCGGTAACAGCGACTGCGCAGGTCCTCCCACTGCGATCGTGTCGTGGCGTGAGCTTGCTTGTTGCTGGCAAGCCAGGTGGAGGTGGCAGCCTGCCAGAACTGCTGCATGATCGAGTCCACCGCCAGATCGACGTAGTGGTGGTGGACGTCCCTGGCGACCCTGCGGAGATACAGGGCCGTGGCCGATCCTGGCGAGATCCCGTCATCCCCAGGGAAATTGAGCTGCACAAAACGAATGGCGACCTCCGTCAAGCCATTGT